ATTCTATAGAGATATAAAATGAAATTATAGGTAGTATAATAGTTGTCCTTATATATTTGAAAGATTATGTTGATATATATTCGAAGAATTATTACATAAAAAATTTTTACCTTGAAAATTCAAATTTTTAGGAGGCTTACAACTTGATAGATATAATGAGAAGTTATATTTGTCTTTTGAATATAGTAGCAATCAGCATTATCAAATCATTCCTTTTTTCTATCTACAAGAACAAATTAATTTAGATGCACAAATTCAACGTGATTAGAAAAAAAGAGTACTTTGTTTTAAAAAAGGTATAATTCTTATCACAATTCCTTATTGTGTTGTTGATCTGCTAACTTTCATCAAGAGTATCTTGAATGCATTTAGTTTCTTCCCAATATCTACCTAGGAGGTAAATGTATATCCTTTACAATTTGAAGTTCTTCTCTCACAAATAGATGTCTTGGACCATTACGTAGCTTGTAGAGAACTGGCTGGTTATTTTTTCTTGAAAATAATTCAATCGAAAAAATTTCAGAAGACCAGTTACAATTAGTAGCCCTCCTTCTTCAGCCTTCTAGTTCACCAGATTCTAATAGATGCTGAACTTTAATATCAGATGATAGGAGGGGTTCATTATAATCTATGGGCCTTTTGTACTTGACAGCTAGATCCGCAAAGATTTTCTCACCTTCTAATGATTTTTTTATAGCTTCATTGAGTGATATATATATTAACTTCATAGAGGAATCATTATATTTATCATCATTAATATGAAGGTTGACAACCTACTCCCTAGATCTATCAGTCAATAGTAAATGTAAGTCTATAGCATCTTAGTGAAAAAAGGCATGCTTTTCAAATTCTTAATGATCTCACTCAGTGATAGCTATACTTCATTTAGATTTAGCATACTGAGTTCTCACACTATATCTAAGAAATAAATCTCTACACTCACCTATATATTCAGTTCCTTTATCTACAATTAAAACTTTTAGCTAGCTAAGTGGATATTTTGGATCATCATAAATTTTCTGAATCTCTCTAGCTATTTGCGTAGCTATTTTATCAGTTAAAGTAAAACTATACTGATATCTAGTTGCAATATCCTTTATCACTCCTTAGTATTTATAAGTTTGATTACTAACTTTATCATGAAGCATAGGTGTAGTATTAGACTGATATACTTTATTCAATGTTCATATATTGTTAAAAGAAGTATATTAAATAAATTTTGACCAAGGCTTATAGATCTGATATAAGGCCTGTTTGTTAAGCCAATTTTTTATTATAGCTAAAGTGAACTCATATCCTGTCTTCTTACAAGTATCCCGTATTTTTTAGCTATCTAATAATAACCTTCAGGCCTATAATAAATTTTTTGTAAAGTAATCTCCCTATTCAAATCACAGGCTCTTTGTGGGTTAATATAAATTATAGGTTTCTCCATTCCTTTTTTTATTATAGTAATAAAAAATATGGAAGAGTTATAACAAACTAACCAAAAACTCTATGAGGTAGTATCGCAATTAGCAGAATCAAATAGAAATTTTGAACAATGTCTATATACTTTAGAAAGGGTTATAGGTATACGAGAAGAGAGAATACAATTTCTTGAAAAAGAGTTAAATAATGCTATCGAACTCTCTATACAAGAGAAAGAAGAATTAATAGAAGAAATTTAAATTAAAAAGAATCATTCACTAACTCGAGAAAGAAAATAAAAGGAAAGACAAAGAAATTTCTAATAAAGATAGATTAATATCAGAATTTGATAAACACAAAACAAAATTAAAAATCTGAATATGAGAGATATTTAAATCAGCTAGAAATATACCTAAAGCACAAGATTATACAATCAGATTAGTAGATAAAAATGAACGCCTTAAATGAGAAATAAATACAATAAAAGTTAATCAAATAAATAGAATTAATAAAATAAATCAGCAAAAAAATTATATTACAGACCTGCTTTGTCAAAATTTTGCATTAGCATTATTAAGATATCAAGATAGATTAGAGCTTATAAATACATAAAAGGCATTAGAAAATGCATAAGCATAGAATTATAATGAAGATAAATCTAATTCTAATAAAAATTCTTAAGATAATTATACTTTTGATTTAGATATAGGTATAATAGCTGAATTGGCTGATGCTATTGACAGATCCTTAAATAATATAATAATATGTAAAACTGTTTTAACAAATCAAATTAAAAGATCAACAAGATCAATTTGACTTAAATATACTAACCTGCAACAAGATCTAGTAAACGAACAATAGAATCATGATATATATAAGCAGAAGCAAGATCAGGCATTGCAGCAATTAGAAAATAAATAGGTATTTAATGAATATTGACAAGACTGAATATGTGATAGATATATAAAATGAAAGAATAAAACTAAGGATGAGTATATACAAATACAGAAATATTGAAATAAAAGAGCTCTTAATAAATTTTAGTGAGATTGACTATATGAATAGTAAAAAAAATAGAAGAATAAGACTAAAGATAAATGCCAAATAATTCTGAATCAAAATTAGAATATTTTAAATTTGCAGCAACTAAATTTTGTATTAGTAAATAATTAGCAAAATTAACTGATAGCATTATTTGTAGGATTTGTATAACCAGAATTCTATGGTAGTAAAGAAAATCATGAAGATTTTGTAAATTGATTCATATCATATATTACCTTAGCTGGAGTAAATAATGATGCAAATATTCTCACTATATTAGATCGATCCTTAAAAGGAGAAGCAAGGGAATAGTATCATAGAGAATTTGATAATAAAAATTAGGAGTTAGAAAATATACTTGATAACTTTGGTATAGATGCAACAATAGCACATATTTGTAGTGCTAATATAGGAGATATAATAGATGCAGTTGCTTCTTTTCCAAATATTCTACTTGGACTTACAGATGCACAAATTATCTCTACTCGAAATATTGCTGAAGATTGGACAATAGCAGGAGAATACCCAACTAATACAGTACCAGTTGCACTAAATACTGGAAGAGGTAATCCTATTGTTCTTGCAGGAGTTCGATCAGAACAAAGGCTTTGGTAGATAAAAAAATATTATCTAACTGCTAATAAATATGTAAAGATGTTAGAAATTAGAGCATTAATACAAGGCGTATATGAGAGTATACCTTCATTCTGAGCAAAAATTCAGAAATATAATGATTAACTGGGTTATACTTCAGCACAGAAGAAAACCTATTTCTTATCTGAAGTTAGATCTGATATTAGAGATGAAATTTATAGAATTGGTCAAACAAAACCTATTAATGATATTATTAATAGTTTGGAAGAACTTGAATTACATCATAGAATATTACAACAGGCACTATCTTAACCTCACCATGCATCTATTGCTCCTGCTATTCCAGATGTTATACCTCAACAACTGGTATTCCCCATGGCTGATATGCAAAAAATAATTCAAGATGTATTTGTAAAACAGCAAGCTGAATCTAAAGCTAAGATAGAAAAATTAAAGGCTGAACTTCAAGTACAACAATTACAAGTTGCAACAGTAGGAAATTTTTAACCTCTACTCAAGTTTTATCCTATAAAATTAGAAAAATCTCAGCAAGTATTTTACATAGTAGATCAAGAAGGTAATAATATAGATCTACTTATCTAAGATCCAGATTACCTTAAATATCTCGAGCAAGCAAAAGCCTTATATAAAAAACCACAAAGATCCAACTAATCTGTTAGAATAGATAGAATAAAAGAAGGGCTTAATGAAACTCAAAATACTATAAATCAGTTAGCAGACCAATTACAGAAAAAAGTATATATAAAAAAATATAGAATTTGTAGAGAAACAGGCTATAGCAAGAGCAAATACTCCAATCAACCTATAGTCCAATCTAATTATATTTGATCATATTTTATATCTCTTAAGCCAATATATTTCTAATACATACCTCCTAATTCAGATGATAGCGAGAAGGATGAAAGTAGGTATAATAAGAAAGATAATCATTAGTATGCCCCTGTATTCTATTTAGAAAAAAAAACTAATATCACCAACAATAAGTAAGACATTACAGAATAAATCAGTAATTTCATGCAAATCTTTAGTTACAGAATCTAAACAAAATGAAAAAGTTACTATGCCAAACCTTTTTCTAGAATCGGATGACCAGTTATTAGAATTATTATCTCTAGCAATGCAAAAAAAAATTATTGACCTATCTACAAAAAATAAATGGGCTAAATCACTTAAATATATGCAGTGTAGAATTGAAGATATAATTATTCCAGATAGGTTTGCTGATACAGCATTAGGATGTCTTGTTATGAATAAAGCACTAAATAAGGTATTAAGATGGAATCTTAGGATGGTACCAAATTTTTCCTTTAGACATAATTTTGATCATATAACAAAATTAGAAGGAGGATATAAGGATGTATTAATATCTATAAAATATAAAAATAAATGGGTTACTGAAACAGGACATGTTGTTATTATTGATAATGGAAAATCTGATTACCTTCTTTGTTTAAGAACGCTATAGATTTGAAAAGTTCAAGGAATTCTAGATACAAACAAATATAAATTTCAAATGATAGTTCATAGAAAATCTTATATTATTCTAACCTTTACTAAGCTAATCAAAGATAATGTTTTATCAAGCCTTTATACACAGTGATTCAGGATAATAATCAAACTTTCAATTCTTCTACTAGGATCGATACTAAAGAGGAGCTAGTATCTAATGAGAAAAAAGAGTCTCAAGCCTCTAATTCATTTATTGAAGATCTAAAAAAAAAACATAATAGATTCTAACAAACAAATCGATTTCTTTCTCAGACTAGAATTCTATTCCAAGATTCAAATTATATCAGATATGAAAAATCTAGAAAATAAAGCAACTATTAAAAAGGAATTTATTAGAGCTCTTGATTATGCAGAATATCTTGAAAAGGAATTAATACGATTTCAAGATTCAGCTTGAAGCTATTTTTTATATTTTCATAAATTTTTCATTCTAGCTTGCACATTACTTCCTAGTATTTATGAGATAGAATGATTTATAGTTTTTGATTCTGATTTTCTGCTAGTCTTTTTTGTCGCTAGTTTGCTCAAAGAAATTACTTGCTCAGGATTTCTGGTACTTGATAAGCTATGTATAGGCAAGATTTCTGGTTGAGATATTGAGATAGATAAATTTATAGATATTATTTCTATTTCAGGTGGTTGAGGATATATCTGGCCATTTATAATATCATCATATCTTTCACTACTAATTTTATAATTAGCACACATAATACATTTTCTATTTGGTATCTGTTTTGCATGAGTATTTCTTATTTTTTTGATTGCTTTAGGAGTTAATGGAGTAGCAGTAGGGTTAAGATATTGTCAAACTCAAGATCTACCTTTGGTTTTAACTATTTTATAAAAATATATAATGATATTAAAAAAATATCTGATTTAAATCTAGGAAAATATCCATTCATTTCTAGTATATAATTAGATAAAAACTAAGTAATAATCAGACAATAATCAGATACAAATCAAACAAAAACTGAGAAATAATTAGTACTGACTTGATTATAGATCTATTTTCATATAAAGCTGGTTAATTATTATTTTATGCCTAGCTAAATATCAATTTTTGCTCAGCTAATTACTAACTTTCACCTAATTATTGCCTGGTTAAATACTAATTATTATCTGAGTTCCTTTTTATTTATAACTAGTAAAAAGGTAAATTGCAATTAGTTTTTTTTTTTGAATATAATTCTCTTCGATTATATAGCACTAATACATACTTTGTATAGTGAATCTACTGATGCCAAAAATTTTCAAGAATGTGAATATAAATTAGATAGTAGTAGAGAATATGAACTTGAATCTCAATACAATGAGTTGCTTCTTGAAACCGAATTTTTTGCTAATAAATATTCTGAATTTAGAAATGCTAAAGCTCTTATAGAAATGTGATCTGATGTGATTACTAAAGAGCTAGAGAAAAAAATAACAAGATTTTACATCTCTAGAAAAAATTAAATTGGTATATTAATGACAAAAATCAAAATGACTTGATTAAAAAACAACTCAAAGAAGAAATTAAAGAGTTAAAAAGCAAAAATACCAACCTTACTGAGTATAAAGCCAAGTATTAAAGTAAGTTAGAAGAAGTAAATTCATTCCAATCTAGAATTAAGTCATTAGAAGAAGAATTATCTTTAACTCAGAAATACTCATCAAAAAAAGATTCTGAGATAATATCCCTCAAAGCTGAATTGGTAAATATAAAGATTGAATTAGATTCTAAAGTCAGTAAGCTTGAGCATCTAAAATCAGAGAATATTTCAATATCTGTAGTTGGTAGAGATAGTGAAACTAGCAAAAATCTCAGTCAATATTTTGCATACAGAAAAATTATGAACGAAGTTAAAAAAATTAGTACTGATATACTGACTCATACCAATAATAAAATTGTTCTAATATTAGAATCTTCAAAAATTGATACTGAGGTTACTTCTAAGATAAGTAATGAAACTATTATTAACAAAAATAATAAAAATAATATATTACAACTAATCAATGCAGAAAACCTATTTCAAAAGATAAAAAATGTAACTCTGATTAAATCTCATAATATTATAATAGGAAGGAGTGAAGAATTATCTATTATAGTATTAGGTGCTAGCACAGTTAATAAGTATCAAACTATTTCTATTAAGTTTGTTATTTTTGCTTTGATAATATTATTAATTATATGGTATATATACAGGCAAATTTTTCACCCAACTTCGTCTTCTTGTTTTTTGAACTCAAAGCTAGATTATACCCACAGTATGATCACCTCTAGTAATTTGTTTTCTAGAATATATAAACTAATAATAAACGAACAAAATGAAGTGAATTATTAGGAAGAAGAAAATTTTTATCCAATATATAGAAAACAGAGTTATGTATTCCTAATCTGTCATGCAGAAAAACTCAAAAACAAGATTACCTCTAATGAAACTTTTCCTTATAGATATTGATGAGGCTACAAAGTATACTTCATTACACTGTATTAGGCATCTAGCAATATTATAACTATTTGCTAAACTAGTTACAGGAAAAAGTAGTACAGGTAAAACTAATATACTCAGAAATCTTGTTCTTGGTAACAAATCTGAATATATATATAAAAAGAAAAAGGATAGATTTAGGTATATATAATATGATGATTTGATAGTTTGTGGATACCATTCTGATGAACCAAAATAGGCTTTCATTAGATATATATATGGAATAATTGCAAATAATCCAAGAGCATTATATTACAAAAATATTAGATTTAGTTATAACTTATCTGAAAAAATTCCTAGTGTAAAATCTTTCTCCCCTAAAAGAAATACTATTATTATCTTTAAAGATTTATGTATTGCTTCTGAGTCTATACAAAATCAAATTATCTTATTTTTCACACATGGATATCATCAGAATATTTCACCTATATTTACTATACACAAATACCATCATGTCCTAATAATTATACATAAGAATATTTCTCATATATTAATATTTAACGGTAGTAGTTCTCCTTAAGATGTTTTCAAAATTGTTAGTCAGTATACTAATGATATAAAAAGTGTATCAATAATCATTAATAGCTATTTTCGCAAGAGTGAAATTATTGTATTTGACCTTAATAGAGTAGAGGATGATCTACTTGCAATTCAGTTGAGGTTTAATACCTTATTAGATTTGCAGAAAGAAATAGAGTTACATCAAAAGCGTAAGACAAAAAATGCATTACCTACAGAGCCTACAAATTCTAAACCTGAAAAATCAAAATAAAAAGTCTATAGTGTTATAGTATGTACTTCATAGATTTTTATTTACTTCATGCATACCCAATTGTGATAAGTCAGAGACTCATGGCTTTGCTACTCTCAAGAATAGCATTAGGAAAATGGTGGACAACTATTTATCTATGTCCTTAATGGTATTAGTAGGACTAGTACAGCCAAAAAATGTTATCAGCTTTCTTTTGGGAAAAGATAATGAAATAAATAGATAAATTATATAATATATTAATCTGTATTATATGCCTATTTATATCAAATAAATACTATTCTTCTATTTCTAAAAGTCGCTTTTGGAGGTCTGGCGATCTTAGTGTAGTGGTTAGGTTGCCAGACCGCCATACAAGAGGTCTGGGGTTCAAATCCCACTGTCGA